GGAATAGGATTTGGAGATGAAACATTATTACCTTATTTTTTACTCCAGTTTTGGAGAAAAAAATAGAAATTGGTTGGAGATGGTTTTAAAAAAAATAGTTTTTTTTACCTTACAACCTATTTTTGTAATATGGATTTTACACTAACTGATTTTTGAATGGTTTCTATCACAAAATCTTCAAAAAGAAAAAAAAATCATTGAAGAGCAAATTTTGCAAAATGATGTAGAGATTGAACTTTTTATTAAGAGTTTTGTAGTTGTGAACATTTGAAAATCAATTTTAAATTAACAAAATCCATATTGCAAAACTGATGATCATTTCACTAAAAAAACATTATCAATTTGTTAAATGGACACTATCATTTTTGTCATTGATGTGAGTGAGGTGTAAAATTTATAGAGTAGGTCCATAGTTCAAATCTTGACATGCTCAAAATATTGCTAGTGTTCCACAATTTGACCTCTCATATAGGTTTTAAGATTGATTGACGTGGACCGCTCAGATAGTTTGATTTACCATTATTCCTATATATAAATCATCAATATACAATCTTTTGACACATTATATATATATATATATATATATATATATATATATATATATATATATATATATATATATATAAGTCATTTAACATAATAAACTAATTTATTTTTTTTACCATTTTATAGTATAAGTTTAGCATTTTCTACAACCATAAGTTTTGCAGGGCTTAATATATTTATTATGTTAAGAAATCTAGTCTGTGGTACGGTGATTGGTGAATGGGGCCCTGCAAATAAAATATGAAATTATTAAAGTTTAAGGCACTGAATCTCTCAGCTCAGTCTCATCATATATAAAAACATAAAGATTAAATTCGTATGTGCAGAGTCACAAGCTGTCAAGCTCTGTGATAAAAACATTTTTTTTTTATTTGTGTTATGTGGAAGTTTTGGTTAAAAGTGATAATTATGACTTGAAGTTATGTTAATATATTCAAGTGTTTAGATAAAATGATGATGAATCATGATGATGTTTTTTTTGTTGGAATGGAACTTTTTTTTGTATGGGAAGGTGAAGAAACATAATATGTTTTATATGTATTTATCAATTTCACTTAATAAAATGAATAAATAATAGATAAAGTAATTTATATTAACTATCATCACAAGTTTTTAACACTCAGAAATATTCGATTATAATAGATTTTAACTGCCACTTGTGAGTCTAAAAAGTATAAACACTACTTCACTTGACAGATACTATTTGCATTTATTTATACATGATAATATATTCTATTTGCTTCTGTTTTTTTTAGTTTGTTTGTTGACTTGGATTCCAAAAAAATTATTATTTAAGATCAAAATTATTAATGTGGAGAAGAAGATGCAAACTTTACCTACATCTTAATTTAACTAATTAATTATATTCACGTTACAATAGTTATACCTTCAAGACATAAATCCAAACACCTCCTAATTAAGAGTTGTGTGCAAGATATTCACAAAAAGTGTACATGTTTACGTGTATATAAGAAATGTCTTTTGGTATAAATAAATGATGTAACTGAGTGAAGATAAATCATTATTTGATTTTTATACCGTTTCAATATAGAAAACTGTATTATGAGTCCAAGATAGTCTAATCAAAGCTATCAACATACTTTTAAAATACTTTTAAAAAAGTACCCGATGGAAATAACACTTTAGATAATTAATTGTTGGAATCATTGGAATATTGAAACTTATGTTTAAGGTATTTTGAGACTGAACTCGAAATGAAGTAAAATTCGAAGCAGCTAAAAGTTAAAAGCTAAAACTAAAAGGTTGAATTTCAGGCTTCCATACACCAGCTAAAAGTTAAAACTAAAATCAAATTTGTAATGATGCGATGTAAATTATGACTTTGAGCTGTTTTCTAGTGCTCGACAAACAAAAAGATAGTGGGACTTGACTACGATAGCAAAATGGCTGCAAATCTAAATGCAATTTACAAGTGTTACAAAGGGACCATGTTACAAGGTTGAACAAACATATCACGTTGATTCAGAATGTTTTGTGAAAAAAAAAAAAAAAAATCATCCAGTATCTAAACTTGTAATATGATATATTTCATTAAATTCAATCAGTTATCTAAAACATAGGCTTCTAATATCACTATCAGTGACAAAATGACACGAAAGTACAATTTAGGTATTCATAAAAGTTATTGGGTGGTCAATTAAGTTTTCTAAAATCAGAAAAGCTTTTGTGAGAGTTTTTTTTTTTTTTTTTTTTTTTTTTTTTTTTTTTTTTTTTTTTTTGTGAGCTTTTTCTGAAATCTAATAATATAAAATTCATTTCCATAGCATTTTTATTTAACGTCCCATAAATAAGCTTTATGAAAAAGCTTTACTATAGTGGACATACCTTAAACTTTAAACATTTTCATTTGTTAAGTTACACTTACGTGTCATAAAAAACCCGGTTAAAAACATTAAACTTTTATCTCACCCACAAATATGGACCCGAATTTCGATACACATTTTTACAACATCACTACACGTAGCAACCTTCCATTTTTGTTTAGGTTTCAAGACACAATATCATATACAAGTGTTCATTTTAACATGTATTAATCTTAGCTCAAAACCATTTTGGTGTCATGTAAATACCAACTACATAAAATCACCGGTGAGTGGATGTGAATGTTGCCACCTCAAATAGTGTTTTGTGGCTCTTATCCATGGACATATACAGTCGAATTGATAAACTTTTTGCTCTCTACAAATCAAAAAAGTGGCCTTTGTACTAGAAACAGTTAAAAGAATTAGCCTATAACGATTTCTGAGTGGAAATAAAGAGAATATTTGACTTGCATAAAAGTTTCAATTCAAAATAATAGGATTTAACAAAGTATCAATTATTGTAGGCATTAAGCAAACAAGACTGGACATGTACGGGATGTGCATGTGACATTCTGATCAATGCTCGTAAAATCTCCACCAAAGATTTATGTTTAGATAAGATGTTTGTAGGAAATAGAAATATATATGTACAAACATTAAGATCCAGGCTACAAGTCTACAATGTGTATGTGTAAATATGAGAATAACTTGCATTCTTCTCTTTGATAGATTTGAGTAATAATAAAGTTACACATGGAATCATACATCAACAATTAATTAGGGATAAGAATAGGTAAGTGATTCGTACACAGCAGGTTTTTGTCATACACAACAATTTGTGCATTATATAATTATACCGTACAACATTTTAAAACACCGATTATATGGAGAAAAATTATTGTGTACAAATCATCTCCCATAAAAAATAATCCAAAAATGATTTGTTTTCTTAAGGTAGATAGTTACATATCTAGCTAGTAGTAAATGTACAAATATGGTCACGCTAAAGGTAATTATCTTTATAATTTAGAAATTAAACAATTACATTTATGTTTAGAAAACGCGTTTTACATATATAAAATACAATAAACGGTATTATAATAACTAAATCTCAGTTTTTACATCATTTTTTGTGCGAATAAATAGTATGACACCAAAAAATAATATTAGAGAGAATTTCGTATATACCCCTGCTAAACATCTAAATATCGTATTTGCCTGATTCAAACCCTAAATATCATATTTGTCCTTCTTAATGTTTTAAAATATCATATTTACCCAAATCTAATTTTTAAATAGATTTTACTATTTAATAAGCATTTTTTACAATTTAAAATCATTAAAAATGAAAAAAAAAATAACTAAATGGACAAGAATACCCTTACTCTCTAAATCACATAAACCCTTACATGTTGCTGTTGCTGTGATCGCAGAAGTTCTGTTTGATAAAAAAAAACACAGCGTCGACTTCTTTTCAGCGTCGTCGCCTCTTCCTTGTTGCAATCAGGACGATTATTCAGGTTAATTTCTGGCTTTATTCAGGTTAATTTTTGACTTTATTTGTGAATTGAACATTACATTCATGATTAGAACGGATGAATAACTTAAAACCTGAGAATGCGTGATCAACACATGTGTAATCGGATACAATCTAAATCGCATAAACCCTTACCTGTTTTTGTTGCTGTGATCGCAGAAGTTTTGTCGATAAAAAAAAAACACATAGTCGACTTCTTTTCAGCGTCGTCGCCTCTTCCTTGTTGCAATCAGGACGATTATTCAGGTTAATTTCTGGCTTTATTTGTGAATTGAACATTACATTCATGATTAGAACGGATGAATAACTTAAAACCTGAGAATGCGTGATCAACACATGTGTAATCGGATACAATCAGTAGGTTATTTGTTAGCTTTGTTTGTCAATTAAACATTGAATGTGATTACAATTGATGATATAATGTCCAATATGAGTGTGATTACAATCAACATGTTATCTCTATGTTTTTTTGTTCATGATTATTTAAAACCGTTTTGCATATTATTTGTTGGCTAATCGGGTATCACTAGGTTGTTTGTTGGGTTTGTTTGTCAATTAATCATTGAATGTTATTACAATTGATGATATAATTTGAAAAATGAATGTGATTACAATCAACAGGTTATCTCTATATGTTTTTTGTTATTGTTGAATTAAAACCGTTTTGCATGTTATTTCTTGGTTTCTTTGTCATTCAATCTTTGATTACAAGTAATGAACTAATGTGCAATATGAATTCTTTTTGAATTGAATATTCTTTGTGAATTATAAAGCATACATTTGGTATTTGTTATACGTTTATATCTGTTTTTGTTATCGTCGATTTAAAATTAGGCCGTTATAGACACGATACAAACCAATGTCCGAAAATCATTCTCAAACAGAATATATTACCCTTCATGACACATCAAAACTAATATGGGAAAGCAGGGCTACATATCCAATGATCGAGTATGTTTATGTGAATATCTTAATTTTAATTTATTAAACCTTTACAAAATTGTATGATTGTTTCTCTAATTAGTTTCAATTTCAGGCGTATACCAACATCCAAGTTCAAGTTAAAATTAAAATATGGGGGTTACTTTCGGCTAATGAAGAACAGTTGTAGGCAAATATATTGTTTTGGCTCTCAAAAATGTATCCACATAGACACAACTTTATACAAGTTAAGTCAACTACACGAAGAAGTGATAAAGCGTTATTCATCAAAGAACAACCCAAAATTTTCTATTCTTTATGCTGACAGGTATGCACCAGAAAAATCGTTTATTGAGCTTGATTCTGATGAAAAGTTCATAGCTATGCTTAGCATGTATGGAAGCGAGAAACAAGTAACCATTTATGTGACAATAGAGAATAACCTCGGCTCCAATATTCATGCTAACCATTCGTGTGCCAACAGAGATGAACCACACGATGAGTATGATGCAGACTTTTGTCCTAGTGAAGAAAGTTATCATAGTCATCTCAGTTCTGATAATGAAGATGGTATAGTGAATGATGATGATGAAGTTAACTCATTTTGTAAGAATAGTATAAGAATGGAAGTCGGCTCAAAATTTGAAAATGTGGTTAATTTTAGGAGAGCTTTGAACCACTTTGCAGTCATAAATGAGTTTAACTACTACATTCAGAAAAGTGACCCCACACGATTCACAACAAGATGTAAAAACCTAGAGTGTGAGTGGAGAATTCATGCTTCTATTACACAAGATGAAGTTGCCTTTGAAGTAAGTGTATATGTTAAGTTATATTTAACATGCCTTATATTAAAAATATATTTACATTTATTTAATTCTTTTTTTAGGTTAAGAAAATGGTAGAAGTACATACTTGCACTCGAAGCAACAAAGGTGGCAATAAGCGTGCCACTCAAGGTTGGATTGCTAATGTAGTAACTGACAAGTTGAAATCTGATGGGGATGTCTCTCCATATGAGCTTAGAAATTGGATTATGAAAACTTACATAGTAGATAACAAGGAACGGGAAGCGGAACCATTGATTTCCACTAAAAATATATAAAACCAACAGTCATTCTCTTCTCTTTCTTTGTTCCTCAACCTAATCTAATCATCAACCACAAGTCACATTCTTTATAAAAGACACCTATAAGATGATCAAAAAGAGCTTCTGAATTTGTTATAGATTATTCTAACAAGTTGTAATTACTAACTCACTACCACTTGAAGGGTTTAAACCATTGATTTTCATGAATTGGGATCTTCTCAGGTTCATAAACAGGAGGAGTTGTGGTTTGTTCATGCTCTTCAGAATCAGGAATGGTTTTTATCTCATGAGCTCCAGTAACTTTCTTATGTTTTTTCATTGCCTCTTTCTTTCTTGGCCTCGTAGACATGTGAGGCTTATTTGTAAGTTGATCTAATACCAAAATTGAATTAACAAAACATACTTTTAAAGATTTAACAATCAGCAAAATACATGGTACGCTTATGTAATACCAAAATCAAATTAACAAAGAAGTTCACTGGAAACCTGACTGTAGCTCAAATCAAAACAACTAAGCTATCAAATACAACATAACTAAGCTGATTGTTAAAAGAATTTGAACAAATGAAACTAGGAACCCTAAAAACGAAATTGAAGAGATGGAAAATAGGAATAGCGTGAAGTCGACATTACCTGATGCAATGATATGATTACGCGACAATAGGGGGGAAGACGGATGTTGTGTGCTATGATCGGAAGGAAGCTGCGATCGAAAGGAAGCTGCAAGACGGGAGGAGGCTACGATAGGAAGGAAGACGGAAGGATGAATCTGCGATCAATAATCCCCGTTAACGTGTGTATAATTTGGAATTTAGAAGAAGGGCAAAATTGTCTATTTCAAATGTTTTTTAGCTTTAATGATTTTAAAATGGCAAAAAAAAAATTAAAAATCAATAAAAAAATTTAAAAAAAATAGATTTGGGTATATATGATATTAAAAAACATTAAGAAGGGCAAACACGATATTTGGAATTTAGGCCGGATAAATACGATATTTAGTTGTTTACCGAGGGTATATACGAAATTCTCCCAATATTATAATGTTCCTTTACACAAAAATGATATTTAAATTTCGTGTGTTTATTTTAGTCACTCAAGTATCATACATATTCGTTTTTAGTTTTTAGTTTCTTAAATATGACAAGATATATTTTAAGAGTAACAATTATTAATTAAAACGTGATGCTTTATATTAAACTGGTATTAATTATTATAAATATAAAACTCAATCTATATGTCTCTAATTTATTAAAAATAATTAATCTTAAATATTACTAAAAGAGAAATTTTATGACATCATCTTAAATAATTTGGACCATTGATTGTATTTTAATCTTATTTTTTCCACTCTTAGATCAAATTGATGACATCATCTTCCCCATATAGAATGTATTTAATTCCAAAAAATGTTTTCCAATCATCAATCAATAACTTACATTTGTTGAAATATAATGTATTTAATTCCAATAAAAGCTTTCCATATTTTACATCTTGAATTTTCAGTTATGAAGATTTTAATATGATCAATTTTAAAAATATATTACTAACAAATCATTTCAATCAAGGTCTTAATATCAACCATTAATATAAATCCGTTTATATTAATAAACCAGTAATATAAAATCTTTTTTTATTAGGAAATCATTAATACCGAAAAATCATATTCAAATTATTACATACATATACGATTCATCATTGAATCTGCGGCTCATATTTATTTTCAATCGTTTATTTTCTTCAAACATTCTCCTACAACATCGTTAATATTGCTTATAACTTCCATCATCATTCTCTGCTATCAACATTTGCTCTTGTGTGCTAGAATGTCAGTACTTTCTTTCGCTTTTTATATTTTTTTCGATCATTTTTTGTTCCTATATTAAATGTATGTATTCATATATTTCGATTTTCTTTGTCACAAATTATATGAAATCAGTTAACTACTTTTTTGAAACTTTTCAAATAAACATGAAAAGGTATTAGCCTATTAGGTACCTGTAACAAAACAAAAATTAACTATCCTGGGAACTCACATTAATTACGAAAATGTTACTTTTATATATTAGAGATGATTATGATTTTTATTTTTATTTTTTATGTCATAAGAATCCGGTTAATTTTGGCATGATTTTAAAATATCATTGAAATTATTATGTTTTTATATATCATATCAACCTACTTTTTATCTTCGTATAGTAACAATAAAATTTATTAATTACACAACAAATATAGATATTTCAAATTTTGTAATATTATTATACCTTACAAAATACAACTCCTTCAATAATAAAATTTCGTTAGTAATTTCATCCATAATTTCAACAAATTTAAATTTGTATTTTCTTTATATATTATTTTTTTTAATGATCCTGATTTCTTTTTTTCCAAAAGTATATCAAACATTTACGTTTTAGATAATGCTGCCCTATTATAATTATTATTTTCCACAAGTATATTCGTTTAATGAGGAATTTGATATAATAAAGGAAGTGAATGTTAATTAAAATGAGATATATATTCCATAACTATTACATGAGTTTATTAAAAAAATTAATATCAAGGTGTAAACATTAAACATTTTTAAAGTGAAATTTCATAATACATACAAACAATAATGTTGTACAATGAAATATAAAATTGAATAGACTGAAAAAAAAAAAAAAAAAAAAAAAACTATTAAAGCAGTCAATTTTGAAAATAATATAGTTATGAAAAATTATAAAGTAAGATTAAAATTATAAGATATTAGGAGATTTGTAAAAAGTACATTTAGTAAAAGCGTTACGGTTATTAGAAAAAATAAGACCGTTAAGATTAGTGAAAATGCAATATATAAACTAAATTATCACAATAGTAATGAAATGTCATTATTTGATATTTCATATAATTGACAGATAAATCAAATTAAATTGATGATATACTAAAATTATTCAAAGTTGCGCCAAAATTAATGCAAAATTTTTGCGAACACTAAATAAATAAGAACGAACATAAAAGCTAACATTTATATTTATAATCAATTTAAAATAAATCAATCATGATTTAGAAAAGAATCTCCATTGATGATATACTAAAATTAAATCTATATAACATTTAACATTTTATAAATTATATTACATCACTTTATTTGAATAAATGCAATAGTTGTTAATATTTAATGCAATAGAAAAAACGATATATTGATTGTCAATATATGTTTAAATTATGTAACATTATTATGCAATGAACGTCTAATTAAAATGCTTATAAATATATAAATATCATAACTATATAAGACGAGGAAAATCGTTCAACTAATAAAACAAAAAATGATGTCTACAAAAAGATCTTTCAATGATTATATATATTTATCGTTTTCAATGTATTTTCTACATATTTCAATAATACCAATAACCATATATTCTTTTTATAATCATTATACAATATCTATAAACGATTATATGTTTTTTATGTGTTTCCTGCCTTTAATGCGGGCTATAATCTAGTATTTTAAAATTTTAAAACACAGCAACACGTTTTATAAAAAACATGAAATTAATAATACAAAAATCATTTATTTGGTTAACTTCATAATAATATATATTATAAAGTTTTTATAACAAAAAAAATGTAACCAAGTACGCAAATTGCTAACAAGTTGAAAAACGATTTTGACAATCTATATAAAACTAAAAAAATAAAAATATATAATATGAAATATATTGTTTGGTGTAAGAAATTATGAAAAATAAATGAAACACTATTAGCATCATTTTTTTTAAACCATTCTGATGTAAAAAAAAAAATGATATAGGATTGGAGATGGTTTAATCAACATAAAATACTTACAATTATGTATATGTCAAAACAACCTAAACACATAATAATCCCCACTAATAGAAATTAGAATATCATAATGTTGAGGAATATAACAAACTCATAAAGAAGCCCACATGCCATTTCCTTTATGAAACAATGAATTTAACAAAATACCCATAAAAATAATAACAATAAACTTTTTTTTTTGTTTTATGCTTTTCATTTTGTGGTTACTTTACTTGTAGTAAATCTTTCCATGTGGTTAACTTTTCTCTTGGTTTCCCTTTTAAACTCCCAACCCTCTTCTCTTCAAAATCTATCTTTTTCCAATCATCAAACGTAAAAAAATCAATCTTCTTACTTTCAAGTAATTCAAGAAGCCCCTCTCTCCCTGGTTTTCTTGATGTTAGCTCTATTTTAGATACGTCTTCATAGATGCTTGCCACCTGTCATTTTTCTTTTTTATTAAAAAAAATCATAATCTTATTTCATTAACTAGTCAGATTATTAATTAGATAGTTACAGTTTCTTCTGCATCATAAAGATTTGTAGCAATTATTCCCGTTGGACCTCTTTTTAACCACCCACATACATACAATCCATCTTCAGCTTCACAAACATCATAACTAGATATAACACGCCCTTTAATATTTGGAACCACACCTACAATTATAAAACACAAAATAAAACCTTTTTTATTTTTTATTTAAAAAAAAAAAAAGATTTTATTAAATGAAACAAACATACCTTTGGAATGGTCAAAAGGTAAACCATCAACGGGTATGGATTTGTAGCCTATGCTCTTAAGTACCAATCTGTAGACAAATATATTATTTATGGAAAATTAAAGATTAAAAAAGTATATGATTTCCTTATGGTGTTACTTTTTTAAATTTTATTACCCGCATTTTATATCCTCATATTCCCCTGTTCCTGTTGCAATCTGATATCCAGAGTCACCATTTCCTATAAAATTAAATTTTGGTGTTGATTTTTATACAAATAGCAAAACAAAACATGCGATTTGATTATCATTCCAATGGAATGAACAATTCCATTCCAGTCTTTCTTTAATTCCATTGTACCAGAATTCTCTACCTTTTAATGTTGTCTTCTCAAAGTGTACACCACCAACATAGCCATTTCTGTGATCTGATTCAAGAAATTTATCAGGTTTCCGGAAGAAAGTGAATTCCAATTCCCGTTGACCTGAAGTTTGACCAGATGTGGATGATGCCTTGGATAACAGCTCAAAGACTCTTTTCCTTATACGGTTGTTCTTCATTTCTTCCTTTCCAAAACAACAAAATCATATAAGCGGAGTTTTAAATTTGCAAAAAAAAAAGGGGAATAGGGGGTTGCATTAAAATATATAGTCAAATAAAAAAATTGAGGAAATGATTTTATTACCTCATCTGCAGAGGTTTTTACAAGATCAGCTTCCTTGATGTTAATGTTCAAATCTTTGATGGCTGCAAAGAGAAGTAGTAGTTCAGCATCCATGGAACCATAATAGTTTATTAAGGGGTATTTTGGACATTTGACCAGTACTTCACTATTACTCCACCCGAAAAGAAAATGTAACACATTCCATTTTGGGTAATTACAAAAAATGGAACATTTCCTTATTGGGCAAGTTTTTAAACCTATTTTACTTTTTTACCCCTTGGTAATTGTTGGTTGAGTTTAGTAACTTTAATTTTGATTCACAAGTATTAAGGGGCATTTCGGACATTTCATCAATGGTCTTGTATTTTTTTTCACTAGACTATATGTAAAGTCAAAGATGACATTTTTTTAGAATATTTCATAATATTTTTCATATGAACATAAAAAGGTTACATTTTTTCCACCTAAAACATTATGCTCGATTAAGAAAAAATATAATTTTTGAGCATTTGCTAAAAAAAAAAAAAACAACAAAAAATACCAAGAATTTCCCGTAGCTCTTTTGCAGTACAAGCTGCTTGTACGGGCCCACGTCTGCCAACAAGATAAACTTTCCTGAAATTTATAAAAATATATATTAGGAACAAAATTAAATTTCAGAAATTAGTTTAAAATTTTAATTAGCAATTGATATAATAACCTTATGGAACTCTCCCTAAGAGCATCCAAAGCATGGCTAGCAATATCAGTTGTAGCCAGCTCTGTAGGTGACCTTAAAAGAATCCTTGCAACATCAAGAGCCACATTACCCTAACAATAAAAAAGTTATTTTATATATATGATTTATATAGATAAAATTAAACCAATTAAAGAAAATAAGATATACCACTAAATGAATTACATATATACATACTTCATGTCCGTTTAAAATATACTATATGTATTTCAAATAGTCAAACAACAAGTTTGTTTAACATCAATCACCTTAAGAATTTTTAACAAAAAAACAAAATTAATTATAACAAATTCTTAAAATAGAATTATAATCAAGAGATTATTTAAAAAATTATAATAATTAAAAAGTTGTGAGTTTTTTTAAAAACCTGTCCTAGAACAATGGCTGTGTCTGTGTTCTTCAAGTCAAGTGTCATATTACTGAAATCCGGGTGCCCATTATACCACCAAACAAATTCTCTAGCAGAGTGTACACCTTTCAATTCCTAAAATAAGTTCATAAAAAAAACAAAAATAAAAAAACTCATGAGATTTCTGAAATGAGTAGTGTCAAACTGTCAATAAGTCAACAAGTCAACAACCAAACATACCTCTCCTGGTATGCCAAGAACTCTGTCACTTTCAGCACCATAAGCAAGCACAACCTGATTGATGATGATATATGATGATAAAGGTTATAGATTAAAGACATAAAGAAAGAAAGAAAGTCAAAAAGACGATATTGACCTTGTCAACTTACCACATGATAAATTTGGCGTAGCTCAGATAGAGAGATGGAGGATCCAAGAGACACGTTTCCAAAAAATGAACATCTTTCATTATGTGCAACTCGTGAAAATTGGTTGATGACAATCTGTTGCAAGGTTTCTGGTCAACTAGATCAATTAAGATGATATTTTCAAGAAAAATAAAAAAAGGGTAAAAAGTAAAAATACATTCTTGAATTTTGATCCATCAATACCTTTGTTTCAGGGTGATCAGGTGCTACCCCTGAACGGACTAATCCAAATGGTGTTGGTAATCTATCAATGATGTCAACTTCTGCTCCTTCATGTGCTTTCAGCATCTATTATTTATTATCAAAAGTAATTAAAGTTCATATAGCATTTGGAATAATTAGAATAATACAAATTATTTATGTTCATAGTAACAAGAAGTTCAAATTGAAATCAATCTTCTAATCGGTAATTTGGCAAAATAGCTGAAAAGCTAGCTGGTAGCTGATAAGTCTGCTTATGAACTAATAGTGTTTAGTAAAAAGTAGCTTATAAGCTAGATTGCAATGTAAAATGACATAAATGGGCATTTAGATATATAACTAAAAAAAAAAAAAAAAGATATAACTAAGGGCGTAATTGGAATATTTTTGAAAAAATTCCATAAGCTTATCAAAAGCTATCTCAAAGTAGCTTATCAAAAGCTAAAAAAAGCTACTTTTGTGGTTTTACCAAACATAAATTACAATAAGCTAGCTTATTTTTGTCAAACAGGGTCAAATTTTGATTATCAATTTGAGATTGGATTCAACAATATCTATATAGTGTCCATTTCTTCATGTAAATCCTCACAAACACACACACACACATAGACACATACCTTTTCAGCTGTGTAAAAACCAGCAGGACCACTGCCAACAACACAAACACGCAATGAACGAGAAGTAGCAGATGAAAACTTCCTAGCAATCATTGTTCTCTAATCTCTTCTTCTTTATTCTTATTTTATTCCTGTGTAAAGAAATGCAAAATAAGTCTAAACCAGCATAAAGAAATGCACCAATATTTACAAACAGACAATGAATACAAGATTGCATATTTAAGTTTACTGGTTAACAAGAATGAATGAATATAACCAATGAACTGACCAAATAGCATACATGTCAAGGTGCAAATAATACAAAAGACACGCATCATATAATGTGCAGATGACATCCATACAGTATTCTAAAGTTCACAACTTTTGAAGGGAATGAATATTAAGACCATGGATGCTAATAAATTTAAGAAGACAATTTCTCTTGAGAATTATATATTAGCTTCAACAATCATATATTTGATTGATTGACAAATAAGATAAAATTTTCACAAGATTAGATTATTCTCAAGAAGGCTGAGATACCAAAACGAATTCGACTTGAGCCTTGATTTGAAGCTCAAGCTCGAGCTCGTGAAATAATCGACAGTCTCGAGCTCCGCTCGGCTCGACTAAGATTTTAATAAAAACTTATAATCACTAAATTGAGTAAGAAACATCAGAAGGTGTGCATGATTCTAGCTGCAAATCTGTAATACGATAAATACCATTGTAAAAGATCATAAGGTGTTCATAGTTTACTTGTTTGTTACCTTTTTGCTTTGTGCGTGCGTTGCAAATGTCATTTACCAAACCATCATTAACAACATTAACACAACCACAATCAATTTATTACAGTTATATATCGCAATCAATTGCAAAAAACCAAAAGAATTGGTCTAAGTAACGAAATGAAGGAATCTGGACTTACTCAGTTACAGCTTCGATGTTGATTTTGTAAACGAGAAGCGCGTCGTCTCACTTCTCAGCAACCTTCAGTAAAGCGGAGGCCCGCGATTGGGGATGGTGGAGCGGCGGTGACGAGTAGGGATGCTGTAGTGGCTGTGACAAGTAGAGATGGTGTAGGGGTGGCCGGTAACTGGAGGTGGCGTGGCGGCAATTTGCGAAGGATAAGCGAATAAAGGGATGTAGGGTTTCATTTGGTTTGGAATTGGGACGGAGTCACGGAGAGATATCATCGGGCCCTTAGTTTAGTTTAGTTTATGTTTTATTTTTATTTTCTTTTAAATCTATGTTATAACTTATAAATGAATAAATACAAAAAAAAGTGGCATATATTTAAATTACATGAAGCTCAAGTGCTCAACTAACCTCTCAAGATTTACAAAGCCGAGTATTTTAGTACCTAAGTTTGGCGTGATCTATGAATTTCATAAATGAAACAGTGGATGGTGGAGTTATTGTTATCCTTTTTGTATTGCGAATTATGTATGTGTTTCTAAGATTAAAACGTTTAACAAATAATTTTTAAAAAATTAACTAACAATAACAAATATAAATAACATTAAACCATATATTATATTTAATTTTATTCATGAATAACCCGTACGTAGAGGTCATTCAAACTAGGGGTGAGTTGTGACATCCCTAATTTCACAGCCATAAAAGACCGATTTGTTAATGTTTTGTTTTAAAATCAAAGTAATCTTTTAAGGAAAACAATTGCGGAATTTGTTCTCAAAATAAAATATGATAAGAGTTTATCAAAAGCATTTCTTTAAATAAATATATTTTCATTAAATAACAAAATCTCGGGATGTCATGTTCTGATACAGACTAAAACCATAAACAGTATAAAATAGACCTTACAACAGTTATGTATAACTACTAATCTATAATTCAAAATCTCTCGTCAAGTCCACCAACATATACTCTTGTGTCATTACCTGTAATGCAAAGAAAACTGAGTGCGTCAGGCTTGGGAGCCTGGTGAGCATATAGGATTTTCAACCCACAATTATATATTTATTATATTCAATCATCAAACAATCAACCCAATTACCCATCCCCATTATCTTCTTTATTTATTAAAGTTTTACCCTAAGAATCGACTATCCTTCCTTCATTCATTCCTAAGGATTTACCTAAGGAACTGGCACGAAGTCCATTGCTGCTAAAGTTTATCTATCAGGTACTAAATCCATAGCTATCAGACGTTAACTCCATAGTCACCAATGTTTATGTAATAGGTGCTAACTCTATAGTCACCAAGGATTATGTAACAAGTACTAATTTCATAGTCACCAAGGTTTATGCCATTTATTGATAGTATTGGTTCCGAGACATCCTCTAGCAATACATATCAATGGGTTTTTAGAGTACACCGGTGAACATCAGGTCCATAACACATACAAGTTGCGAGTCTGCTAGTGTTCCACAAGCCTGCCTAGAATAGTCCGTGGTTGTCATCCCTACTCTGCTGAATGACTAGGGCCATCGTTTGGGTAAAGGTTTCACTCATTTTTCACCTGACACCCTCATCTCATGATCTATATCATCTTTCGTCTCATCCTTAAACTAATATTTTCTCACACACCAACTATTTCATCTACTCATGTTCTACCCAACATATTTGTAGATATAAATTACATATATATAGTTTAAATCATTTAAAAATATGTATAAAACATTCATTCAACAACCATCTCCAGTAAAAAAAACAACGTATAAACACATAACATGTATTTCATAGCAAATACTTCATATCTATGCGGTAGAAGAAAGTAACTACACACTCACTTGATTAGACGATGCTCGGACAACACTACGACTTGTAAAAGTAGTATTCTTCAGTAGATCTCGAAGATTTTCACAAAAACCGGCTTCTCGTTGGCAGAGCTTCGGCTCGGGAATTGCACTTCTTGGGATCTTCGGGGTTCGGGACTCGCTTCAAGTCTCGGGATGATACCGGGGCTTCCGGGGGGGGGGGGGGTTAAAATAGGGCTTAAAGAGAGTATCGGGAGTGGGAGAGATGAGAAGGAGCAACCAAAATCGGTTGACCCTCGATTTCTATTTATAGGGTGAATTTTCTGGGTTCACCTCGTGAGTTTCTAATATTCACCTCGTGAACTAGGCTTACATCGTGAGCTACATATGCTTACCTCGTGAGCTTGATACGTCATTGCGTTCGTCATGGCCACTTTCCCTGGAAGACGTCCATCATCTGTTCACCTCGTGAGCCACTAATGCTCACCTCGTAAACTACATATGTTCACCTCGTGAGTTCTGCCACAGCCTTGGGGTTCACGCCTTAAACTTCAGAAATTTGTAAGTTTCGCATACGAGCTCCGTTTTCGACGTTCCTTATATCCACACGTTGGTGAAATTATGCTCTACAACTCTCCTTTAGACTCCGTTGACTAATTTTGACTTTATTTTTAATATATTATAAGTTTATTATTTTTAGTAGGCCGGGATAGGAAAACCCCGTTCAAAATTCATAACTCCTTCATCTAAACTCCGTTTTAGTATGTCTTTTTGTCGTTACGCTACTATTAACGAGATCTTCGATTCTTGTTTAGGTTGTGTCGGCTAAAAACGGCTCGATCTAATATTCAAATTTCGGGCAGCATACTGCTAATGTTGAAACTTCGAAAAATCATAACTTCCTCATGCGAAGTCAGATTTAGATGTTTTTTTATGCACGCTCTCGGTTTAACGTATTCTACGACTTAATTTAGATCTCTAAGGCCAAATATTGCTCTAACGTAAACTCACTATTTACGTCGCGCTGTGTCGTGCCGGTTCTGTCGCGAAACTTCGACATGTCATAACTTCTTCGTTATAACTCGGATTCCAACGTTCTTTATATGTATCGAATCCTTGTAACATACACTACAACTTAGTTAAGATTATTCATTCTAATTAATCTTCTATCAAAAAGTCAATTTTGATGCTTATCGTTTCTAAATTGACTAGTCCTAAAGTATGGACGTTACATGAGCGTGGTGCGGTTCGATGTAGTTATTAGCTAAGACCTCACCACTAACCACAAATGCGGTTCATCAATTTCAAAACCGTTTGGTGCGATTATTTTTATGGTGCGGTTGGAGGGTTATTTTTGCGATACGGTTTTGTTTTGTTTTTTTTTTTTTTGTTTTTTTGTTTTTTTGTTTTTTTGTTTTTTTGTGTTTCGGTTATTAACTACATGGATTTCGTGCGGTTATTCTATGTCGGTTTTAACCGCAATTTAGAGTTCAAACGATTTTATGAGTTCAAAGATATTACTTGTAATAATAACAAAAGAATAAGGTATAAGACAATTAACTTAAATCACAAACAATTAATATCTTAAAAACGTGAAATCACTAGTAATAAACAATAAATATCTTAAAATTGTTAAATTTCACTATTTTTCAAAGTTAAACATAATAAAAAACTAACACTTATCCTTCTTTCATCCATAAAACTTGTCTTATTTAGAGTTCAAATGGTTTTAAGAGTTCAAACATATCATTTGTAATAATAAAAAAAGAATAATGTAGAAGACAATTAACTAAAATCACAAACAATTAATATCTTAAAAATGTGAAATCATTACTAATTAACAATAAATATCTTATAATTGTGAAATTTCATAATTTTCTAAAGTTAAACATAACAAAAAACCAATACTTTTATCATCTCTATTTTTATCCTTCTTTCAATTATAAAACTTGTCTTATTTTTAATATTTAATATATTAATAATTAATAATTTTTTTATATATATAATATATGCGTTACGGTGTAGTTTTTTTGCAGTTTTTGAAAACTAATAACTGTACTGCACCACAAATTTGCGGTTTTGAAAAACGGAAACTTCATCATCGGTTTTTAGTGCGGTTGCGGTTTATCGGTGGCGGTTTATGTAATTTTTTACGATTAATTTTAGTTGCGGTATGGTTGTTGCTCACCCCTAATTCAAACAATTAAGATTATGCGATTTTAATAGATGTATATATTATCATATAATTCAAAATAATCAATATATCATTTCAACTTATTATACGAGTTATTATATCAAATTTAACAACGTTATTGTCATATTTAAAAATATATATATTTCTAAAGACACGTGTTTTGTATAATATGTTTTGGCGCAACGCACAGGCATTCGCCTAATAATTTAAGATAACATGCAACTCTATTAAACTCTGTGTAAATTCGTATGGACACGTGTTTTCATATAATATGGTTGAAATCGTATTGTGTTTGTGTCGTGTTGCATATTAAACAGCAAACACATTTTAGTATTTGTGACGCAACACACACTGAAATCAAATTACTAGGCCTACACAATAATTTGAATCAAAATCATGTTTTTAAATGACCATATATCGCGGTTTTTACCTTCTATTTTATTACTTTGTGACTATCTCTAAAATAAATGTAAGGAAAAGTATTTGTAAATCAAAAGGATGTTTTTTCATCTTTTATGATGCAATCCATAAACAAAATATTAAT